GCCAGTTGTGGACAATTTTCATTTTTATTTTAAGCGAGAGTTTTACTCTTAATTCCAGTCTGCTTTTCTCAACTTATCCAATACGCTTGCAGCTGAGGGTGGAGTAAGCGAACGGATGAATGGATGGATAAAATTATTTAATCGAGGATTGGATGGGTAGATAATACCCAACTTTTTTTGGTGGCCCTCTTATTATTTAATTAAATTTTCTGGGTTACTTTATTTCCGACATCTTTGTCTCTCTTCATCCTCTTAGACAACCAACTTATATTACGCTATACTTTGTTTATCCTCTTTCTCTCCCCCTTTTTATTTTTATTATTATTTCAGGGTAGCCTCAAAACAAATTCGGGGGCAATGAGCAGCAGCTTCGGGGCAGACTTTCAATTCAACCAACACAATGACCAAAGTGGCGAGGCCGACGGCAAAGACAAAGTAGTATGCAGAGACGGCCGTGTCTTCCATGCCTGCGAAATATGCCGCAAGCGGCGGTCGCGCTGCGACGGTAACAAGCCAAAGTGTACGTCGTGCGAGAAACGCGGGCTCAACTGCGAGTACAGAGCAATGCGGAAGCGCGGACGCCACGGCAAAAGAGCCCTCCCATTTTCAACTGGAACCGGTTTGATCGATGTTGAAATGACCGGCGATGGTGACTCGTGGTCATTGGGCTCATCTGCCAGCACCATTGGCTCGAGGCCGCTAACTGCGTCGACGCTGGGCGGGGGCAGTGGTGGAAGCGCTGGCATTGCGGCGATGCATGGTGACCCGACGATGAGCCTGCTGGACTCGTTTCCGCCCTTTTTCTCTATTCCCTCAGACATATCTATGGCTGACGAGGGCAGCCATGGTCGTGGTAATTCGGTGGCGATGGACTCGATTATCAGCGCCATGGCTTCCACTCCAGCGACGAGCAGCGGGGTTGGTGAGAGCAGTAGGAATCCATTGGCCATGCAGGGCCCAGCAAATTTGTTCATTAGCGCATCCCTGCGCGGTTCTACCATAGTAGAACGCTCTGCCCTGACATCTGCCTTCCTCGAGTCAATCGACAGCCAGCAGCAGCAGCAGCACAGGCAGTCCGTGTTTCTGGGCTCACCATCGCCACTGCTGCCTCCACCTCCTCCTCCGCCGCCAATGACATTCCGCTCGCTCTCGCACTCTAGTAGTATGTTTGATTCGCAATCGATATGCACCCAATCGCCAGTGCCGTCATCCGTGGGCTCGTCCCTATCAATGGTGACAGGAATGGCCTCCCCCATTGGCCTCGGCGGCATGATGCAGACCACCTCGGCGAACAGCAGCTTGGGACCTGGCCAGTCTGCGTTTGCTGCGCACCAGCAGCCATACCACCAGTCAAATACATACGGATTCAGCCACAATAATCAGCATCAGCATCGGTCGCATAATCAACAGCAGCAGAATCCGCTTGCGCCTTCGATCCAGCAGTCAATGTCGACATCAACTGTCAAAGCACCAGAGGTCACTGCGGCGGATGTTGCAGCGGCGGCTGCATTCCAGTTTTCGCCGCCGCCGCATTTGTCTATGGTTCCAAATACGCCGTTAGGCAATATCAACATGAATTACAGCAACAGCATCAATAGCAGCAACGGCGGAAACAGTGGAAGCGATGCCTCCGCTGCGAACAACACGTTTAGCCGCAGTGAGCAGGAGGTGGCCGCTGCTTTGCTGGAAACGCACCCCTTGCAGACCCAAACTGCTGCTCATTCACAAGCCACACCAGCTGCTGCGACGGCAGGAGCGATCGGCTCTGTGCCCGGACACGGGCCGAGCAGCAGCGCGCGCATGCAGAGAAACGGCCTAGGGGTATGGACGATGATCGATCCCGCAGGCACCACGGATAGTGCTGCTGCCACGGAGGGTGCCGAGGGTAGCACGGGAACCAGGCGCCAGCGCAGCGGCGAGTGCAGCCGGACAATCGTCGAGGAAGAAGAGGTGCTTGATGGGCTAAACGCCGACGGTGCGGATAACTTTGGCAGGCCGCTTTTTGACGTCACCTCGTACCCTCCGCCGGCGGCCGGAGAGCTGGAGGAGCACATGAACGGGATCTTTGAGTATTTCTACATGGGCGTACAGACGCTGCACAAGCCGTCGTTCCGCAAGCGCGCGACCAGCGGACTGGTCTCGCCCGTGCTGATCTATGCCATTATGGCTGTGGCCAGCCGCTACTCGCGGCGCCCCAGCCTGCACTCCCTTAACGGCATGGCATTCCTTAACGGCGACCGCCACGCGTCGACAGCCTGCGGGCTGGCCAGCATCCAGCTGAACCACGGCGACCTCGGAACTGTCGACACGATCCACGGCATGCTATTCCTCTCGGTTTACTTTATGGGCCAGGGCAACATGCTTAAGTCGCGCATGTATCTGGTCAAGGCCGTATGCACAGCGCGAACTATGGGGTTTCAGAATATGGACGCGACCTTTCTGGCGTCCAGCCCGATGATCGCCTTCAGCGGAACCTTTGACCGCCAGCATGAGGTCAAGTCGTTGCTGCCTGGCGCCTGCTCGTGTCCAAAATCGGTCAGCGATCTGGTGGAGCTGGAGACAAAGCGCCGGATCTGGTGGTTCCTCGTCTTTGTCGATTATTTCACTGCCAATGTCATGAATGTGCCACTGGAGATCCCGCCCGACTCGTACTGTGTGCGCCTGCCGTGCAGTGATGAGGAGTGGATGAGCGATACGCTGAGCATTGGGAATCCTGATGACCCAATTCCGCCGTACCAGCCATACAATCAGCAGCAGCAGCAAAATAACCAGAACCAGGAGACGATTGCAGGCAGCAGTAGCAACAATGCTGCTGCCGGATCGCTCGGCGACTTTCTCTCTCAACAGCAGCAGCAGCATCCCAACATCCCGATTGACATCATCTTGCCGCGCGACCTCGGCTTTGGAGACCGCGTGTCATCGGCGCAGCAGGGTGCCGAGTACTTACGGCTCAACGGCATCCACGACTGCCACCCACCCTGGCTCTACCACCCGGGGGCATTCTACCTCGAGCGGCTAATGATTGAGTTCTGCGACCACCTGCGGCGACTGAACAACTTGCGCGCGCTAGCCATCCGCTCTTTCTTCCATGTAAACCCGATTTTTCTCGACGAGAGCTACCCCTACCTGAAGCGGCGGCGACAGGTTGTCTCGTGGGCAGATCGGCTGGAGAAAGTCAAGGCCTCGTGGTCATGGCTGCACCTGCAGCTCAACAAATGGCTCGACTCCATCTTGCTGCGCTTCTCCGAGGTCATCAACCGAGTACCTTCAGACCAGTATAACCGCCAGTATCGCCACCAGTATTATTATTATCTAATCGCCGCACACTCGACTATCATAATGTCGCATGGTGTTATTCTGCAGTTGTACACGGACTTTTCGCGCTATATTCGCCAGCAGCAAGAGCAGGAGCTGCTCCAGCAGCAACTGTACCATCAGCAGCAGCAAGAGCAGATGCGCAGCCAGTCGCAGACTCCCGCATACGGTCACTCGGCTTTTTCAGCGGCCATGCCCGCTGACCCAGCAACGCTGCTTGGTGCAGCAAACAGCCACATACCGGTGTCAGCGGCAGCGGCAGCGCGGCCCTCGTGGCTATGCCCAGGCGCGCACACACCGCCAGTGGACTATAGTAACGGCTGTGGTATGCTGCTGAGTGAGGGCCTGTCAGAGTTCGCCATCGGCACGCTAGGCAGCACCATGCCGTCGCTCATGAACATTGCGCAGGGTCTGGCGGCTAATGGGGGCAGCAGCAGCAACGGCAGCATGCAGGGGTCATCGATCTATGGCAGCGTCATGGGCAGCCCGGTGAGCGGCAGCGGTATGAGCATCAACGGCAACAATGGTACCTACAATCATGGAGGCGCAGCAGCGGGGCTTGACGACATGCTGCACACGGGGTTTGGTAGCTTTGGAAACATGCTGCCAATGCCTGGGCCAGCCAATAATAATAAAGGACCGCAGTCAGTGCTGAATGGGCCTAATGCTGCCAGCAGCATCCTGTGCGACCTCTCAGACATGGCCATGCTCGCCTGGGACGGCTGCGTGTCGACAGCCGACCAGCTGGCATCGATCCTGCGCGGCAAGCACCCCAAGTTCGTGCTTCTCGGCAGCCTGCCCCTGAAGGTCTTCCGCGAGCAGGTCCTGTCGGGCGACGCCAACATTCTGTCACAGCCAGGCTCGGCGTTCAACGCTCCAGGCACGGGACCTGGTGCCGACAACCCCATACTGTCCGACCCCGACTTTTACATGCGCTTGCAGCCGTCGACCGCCTGGTGGATGTTTCTTGTCGCGCAGGTGCAGGTTGGCCACATTAAGCGCTTGCTCAAGGAGAGTGAGGGGTCATTCAAGGTACAGGCCAAGCGCAAGGCGCGCGCTGCCAAGGCTGCGACCACCGATCCAGTGGCAACTGGAAGATCGGACGACCTGTTAGACTCAGCAATGGCACCTGCAGAGTCAATGGCTGTCGATAGCAGCCAGCAGACTTCTCCCGCCGCTGCAGCTGCAGCTACCGACGCTGCAGCCTCTGCATCCATGTTTGTCCCACCCGGAGATGGCTCTAGCAACATGCCAGCAATGGATGGCAACGCCGAGCAGCTGCTGGGAATGAGCCAGCGGCTGCAAAAGCCAGCCAACCGCATGCAGCCACTGTCGACCAGCATGAACAACTCGGCCATAATGCTGGCCACCGCCATGCATATGTCCAATGCTGCGCCAGCGCCACCGACGCGCCAGGCAATGGAGGACCGTGCATCGCTGAAAACCAAGGCCTTGCGGCTGGTGCGCGCCTATGAGAACCTGTCGTGTATGGTCAAGGTGCTTGAGGGCATGCAGCAGTACTGGCAGTGCATGGACTACGTCAGTGTCATCCAGGATATTCTTAAGGGATCCGAGCGGCCGCTTCACTAGAGTATTGGTTTTGTAAATGTCACCAATGTCACCTCTTTGTGTGTGTGTTGAGTATAGATATTCTGTACTTTGTAATTGCGTAAAACTGGGGTTCGTGTTCATAAAAAAATTATTACAAAAGAAAAGGAGCTTTGAAACGGACCGAAGAGAGATGTGAAAGAGAAGTAAAAGAGAATTAACCAGAGAGAAAAAAGATCATCACGACAAAAGCCAAAGTAACTCAGGAATTGCGTCCATTTTAATTCTTATCTCTCCTGAACAAAAGCATGTGTGGCTCAGGCTCATGGATCATATAATGCAACCAGCCATACGACTGGTGTACGCCTAGGCTGCGCCATTCGTTATCATTCATCAAGCGTGGCGGATGCGGCAGGTACTTCCTCAACCCCTCGGGGATCGACACATGGCGGTACTCGTGGTCGTCGTCCGAGTACCGTTCAGAGTAGTGGATTTCGTCGGCATATTTGACCGAGTCCAGCAGTTTTTGCTCCTCGAATGTTAATTTCGGACGCGCGTCAATGCCGTTCTTCTCCTTAGCGGCCTTGTCCTTTGGCACGGCCATCATTTTCGGTAATAATAACTCAATAGGAATAGTGTAGTGAAATTTGGGCTTTGAAAAAAAAGAAGAAGGATAAAAATGGTCGAGATTATTTAATAGCTAAATTGAAAGAATTGAGGTTTTGTTGTGAAAGAAGAGCGAAAATTAAAAAAAACGAAAAAAAACAGGGAAAAGAGGAGACCACACCAACACCATGGATTCCATTTCGCGATTGATTCTCACCCTTGATCATCGCAGATTTCTTGATTTATGCGCCCTTTTTTGGTTATCGCCAAACTTTGGCATTTTTGCAAGCAAAAAAACACGAAATGTCGATGTGATGATCGATGCGAGCATGCTCACAATAAACGCGTTTAGTTTTTTGTTTGCCCACACGCTTTTGTTTTGGCAGTTCTAAATTCCTGGTAGCAAACATCTTTTTTTTGCTACTGCTGATGTTTTTGCTGCCAAATAATTTGTTACAGTATAATTTATAATTTATAATTTATCTTTCTTTTTTACTTTAATTTGTCCTGTACCATATTGCTATTTCCAATAACGGGTGTTACTTACCGCTTTACAGCCCTTTTCACTCCTCGTCACCCCTCTTCAGCCCTCCCTCCCTCCCTCCCTCCCTCTTTTTTCTTACATTTACTTTCGCTTATTTTACTTTTTTTATTTTTTATTCAATTCAAGACTTCAGCGCTCGCCAGCCACCTGTAAATTATAAATGACTTTGCCGTCGTCAGATTCCACTATGGACGCGCTGACTCTGTCAAAGTACGACGACCTTCTGAGCGACGTTTTGCTGGACCAGGTGGGGCTGTGGTTCACGACGCGCAAAATGTTCCCGCGCTACCGGCCGGCGCGCACTAGCCAGCCGGCCATCTTGGACCTGGTCAAGCGTGTGGCCACAGGCGACCTGAAGATCCCCGCAGCTGTCGACGAACTGCTGGTGCAGGAGTACATCGCGCCGTTTCTCCGGCACAAGTCGGCGCTGCGGGTGGCGGACTTCCGACTGCACGCCGGGCGGTACTTCTCGATGTACCTGCCGTCGGCCGGCTACGAGATCAGCCAGACCGACCGCTACAAGGTGGTCACAGGTCAGAGCGAGGCGCGCATCGTGGCGACACGGCGGTACACGCTGGGCATGGTGATTTCGCTATGCTCGGGCAGCGTTGCGCGGCTGAGCGATGCTGAGATCGACCGCATGGAGCGCGAGCGCGCCGACTTTAGCGTCATATGGTGGAGCAAGAAAAAGAGCATGTGCTTGTTCCTGGGCCCGGCGCGCTTCGTCAACCACGACTGCGACTCCAACTGCCGTTTCACGGCGCTCGGCTCCGATGCAATTTGCTTCCAGGCGCTGCGCACTATTGAGCCCGGCGAGGAGATCACGACGCACTACGGCAGCTGCTACTTTGGCGACGACAACTGCGAGTGCCTCTGCGCCACCTGCGAAAAGTACTCGCACGGCTGGTACGAGCGCCACAAGGTCGAGGATGGCCGGGCGGTTGCGATCAAGCCGCTGATGAAGACTCCGCCGGCGGAGCCTAGCGCGGCGCCGTCGGACGTTGAATCGGAGGCTGGGCCTTTACTAGTGGCCAAGACTGCTGATGGCATGCGCACACGCAATAGGGGCTTAAGATCGGTGACGCCTGCCAGCTGCCTGCCAAAGAGCACGCGCGACCGCATGGCTGCTCTGGCCCTCCAGGCTGGCCTGACCCGGTGCACGGTCTGCCGCGACCTGCAGCCGGCCGCACAGCCGCTGACGCCGCCGTCCTCTAGCGAAAGCGACGATGCGTCTGCGGTAGCATCAGCAGTAGCAGACGAGGCTGCCGCCAAGGGCGTGTGCCGGCGGTGTGTGCGCCACAGCGCCCTCTTTGGGGTCTCGTGGCCCGACCGCCAGGGCCGCCAGGGCCGCCAGGGTCGCCAGCACGTGGCAGCGCGCAAGTCGCCGGCTAAGGCCAAGGTTGCCAAGCTGAAACGCGCCGGCAGCAGCAGTAGCAGCGACGGTGCTGATGACTCTGGGGGCTCCAAGAGGTACCGCGCGCACGGCACAAAAAGCAAAGCAGACCTCACAATCTTCGATGGCGCTCAGGGCCCGGCGCATGCCACCGCGGCGGAGATGTTTGCGGCCCTGGCTAGTGGCACCCCGGTGCTGGTCGACCCGCTGGACCCACAGGCCGAGCACTGGTGGCCGGCGGTCATTGTCGACCGCGAGACATTGACGGACGCCGAGGGCGTACAGACGATAAGGCACCAGGTGCGATACTTTGAGGACGGGTCCTACTCGTTCTGCCAGGCAGACGAGATGCGGTTGTTTGATCTCACGCAGCCGCCGTTTGCTGACTGGATAAAAGACTCGGATAACCAACCGGTGTTGAAGGACTTGGCTATGCGCCGTGCCATCGCCTACTACGAGTGGCGCTTCCTGGCCCCCGCCCAGCGGCTGCTGCTGCTGCCAAATACTGCGGAGCAGCAGCCGCCTGCGGAGTGCCACGCCGGAATTAACGAGGTCATGCTTCTGCGCCGCGTCTACGACAAGCCTGTGCTGGACCAAACCCCGATGACAAAAGCACTCGTTCAGTTCAAGCACTTTTTCTCTGCGACATCACTGAAACCACCATCCTCTTCTGAAGAACAAGGTGCTTCTGCCAGCAACAGCAGCGGTTGCTCGTTAGTGTCCGGCGGCGAATCCGTAGACTCCATTTGCCCTTACTTGCATTCTCTGCGTGATCTTGTACATGTTATTGATGCCCGCGACTGCAAAATTTACAAGGCACGCATAGTACACATTGAGGCAATGTCTAATGGCCAGCGCCTGGGACTGTATTACTATGTGCATTATCTCGGCTGGAACGAAAAGTTTGATGACTGGGTACCACCATCCCGCATTATTTACAATATATGACATTTTTTAATTTATGATTTATAGCTTACTAATTTGTCATTTTATGATATGTTCTAAAGCAGCATGTGGACAAACACCGCTTGTGAAAAGTCTCAAATAATTTGTTTCAATGTGGCCATCTGAATCGCAAAACCGCTCATGATTACAAATATGTTTGTTTTGGCTCGATGAGTAACTGCCTTTAAATAAAATAAATCTCGATAGCGCTATTGTGTTATTGTGCTATCAAAAACCAAAATTACAAATGGCAGTGTTGCACAGACTGAAGATATGGAAGTGGATGTTGAGGTTGAGAATCGCAAAACAGGTTTCCACCTGCGTGCCGATTGATAGGACGCTAATTGGATCATGCAGGTGTAAATTAGGGAGGCATAATAATGGTGTCTAGCCATGCTCCCCATTTTGCAATGCACACGCGTGAGTGCACACACACAAAAACCACAACACTGACCTGCCAAGATACCGGTCTGCTCACAGAAGATCCAGTTCTCACCAACGGAGCGCACAATTGACAATGTGCATAACAAAGGCAACAAGGCACATATATAAGAAGAGGGTGGCCCTAGCAGTATTTTAGAAACATCAGTAATAAAACCTCTTATAAAATCAACCTCATTTTCTAACACTAGAAAACTAATGCTCTTCACGCCCCCTCTTACTATAACAGCAGTATCAATTGCATTGTTCATTTTCTTTTGTGCCTTTATTATTCAATGAAAAACACACATATCAGCAGAACTCGCAATCATGAATGCCTAATTTGTACATTTGTATCTTCCAATTTAATCGAGTTCAATTAAAGTAATAGCAATTAATTAGTAAAAATGTAAATTTCTAAACATAAAATAAATGATATGGCTACATGTGGAAAGTTTTATTGTGGATTTAAAAAGCGTTTTCCCAAGCAAACCATTGTTCACAATGTATGCAGTAAAGTACCATAGAATCGTCATCATTAACAGATGATTAACCGGCTCTTTCTGCAAATTGACAGTGCATGTTTTTGAAAAGGTTCGCCCTGATTTAATTCGATATACAATTGATGATAATATAAGTAGCAGTTGGTAATTAGATAAACGCAAAATAAAAATATCGCAAGTTTCTTTTTAAATAAATTGACAAGTACCAATACCATTTATCATAGCATTTTTAATTAGGGTGTCTTTAAACCTCCATTCCTAATTGTCTTTACTTTTTAATACAACCTGGTTGTAAAAAATACGCAATTGTAAACTAATTTCTATCAATATGACACATTTATATTTACAATCTGAATGCACAATTCAATGAATAGCCATTTTTGGCATGTGGCTTTGCGGTTCAGTTGCGAATTTATGCGCATTCAAAAAGATTGGGTTTAAAAGAGCTCAAGAATTTTGCAAAAATATATATGTTAATCTTATCGCTGAATCTCAATAAAAATATAATGAGATTTGTTTATTTAGTGAATAAAAACAAAAAAGTGCACATTTATTTGTATTTATGGCGTTTTTCGCATTCAGACAACATATGCACAAGCTACAAATTTTAACTATTAAACACTGAAAAACAGTAATCACACATATACCTACTAAGGCCGCTAGTTGACAAAGCAACGCCCTTTTGTGGTTCCTGAGACATACTATTTAGTTGCTTGACTTGTTGCTTGACTTGATTAACTAGTATATATATAAAGATAAATTGCTATTAAAGAAAGTGTGCTATTATTAATATATTAACCAATTTATGTCACAAATGCATACTTTTATACCAATTTTCGATTTTTCCATACTGTAACTCATTCTGGCTTGAATAGTAATGGAAAATTATTGTATGCAGATACAATAACACAATAACACAATAACACAATTGTGCTATTGATTACAACCATCCTTCTGAATGACATATATAAATGCATGGTTTTACTTTTGTATGTGACTTTGCTGTTTAATGACAAACTCCAATATATTAAAAATAACTCGTGATCAAAAACGCCTTTACATTGGGAATTGTATTTATTAATAAAAACATGTGAAATATATAGCCTAATTTCAATACAAAAATAAAAAATTTATATTGTAAAACCAAATCATAGTGCTCATCCCCAAAGTGGTCGATTAGTTTATCTTTAGTATTAAATAACATTTTGCATACTGGACAGAAAAATGTATATTTACAATTAGTTGACCGCCATGTTTTATCTACGTATTGTTGGCACATGTTAATACTTTTTTGGATTGTAATGTGATGTAAAACGTACTTAAAAATCAGTTAAATTCTGTAAAC